TCACTCGATCTTGTCTTATGTCAATAAGTCAATACCACATGCAATATTTCGACATGATGTGTCAAATTTTGTAATCATAGGCTTATTTTTTAATGAAACATTCGAAAAATACAAAATAGAAAATACAAAATAGATATATTTAGCGCCAAGGCGTACTATTTCAGTTTAATGGTATTTTTAGTGTGAACTGTTTGTGATGGTATTTTATATCAGAATTTGTATGCCATTTCTGTGCTGGAACTGTATTCATAAATGGTACAGGTGAAGAAACTGGTGAATGAAGTAGAAGAGTTAGATAGCATTAGAACAGAGTTCATTGATGGTGGAAGTAGGCAGGAGGAACAAAAGGAGAAAGGTTTAAGCATAGGCAGGAAGGCAGTTGTTAGACAAACAAACAAACCAACTGGGCAAGGTTGTGTGGAGTCCACTGGTCGAGCACACTGGATGGAGACAATGTTGGCGGCTAATGCCATTCATGGAGGTGGTAAGGATCATACAAAGCCTGGTACCATTGGAATGTTGGAGACATTAGAAAAAAAGTGCAAGGTGGGTGATATAGTATAGTAAGTGCAAAGTGGATGATATAGGGTTGAAAAAGTGCAGTAAATTTAAGAACAAGGTTTTTCAAAAAATTCACAAAGATTTGAAGAAGTTTGAAAGATCAAATGAGAATATGTTAATATTGATTGCTGTGTATTATAGTAAAGGCGTTATGGGCAAAGAAAAGTGTAGCAGAGTTTATAATGCTAGCTCATATGAGGAGATATGTGGTAGTAAGAGGGCTAAGCATGTTAGTGTTGGTGAATGTCCGACCCCCGGATGGTTGCAATATTCCCTATCATAGATTAGTGCAATACATTAAATCTATTGATAATGGTAAGTTATTTAGTGTTCGTGAACATCTGTGCAATGGGTTGGATGAGTGTGAGAAGGTCAATGGTTTTTACGGAGATATAGAAGATATTCTTGTTAAATTGCAGAATTTTGTTTGAACATTGGTAAGTATAAACTTTTCAACTTTAATCAGCCAAACACATTTCATGTTTGGTGGAGATAGTGCCCCTTTTGGAAGAGATGATTGAGCATGCTCTTGGCTGATAAGATTTCTAAACATTGGACATGGTGTGATGAGCCGCAATGAAGACTTACTGCTCTTTGACGCTAATTGTTCAGAGAACAGTCTCCCTATAATTGCTTATAGCAATCATTTTACAAGAAAACAATTATTTAACAATTGCTTTTGATTTTTCATTTGCTTTTTTTGTGATTTCTTACAAAGCAAAGTAATTTTATGTGCAAGCTTAATGAAAACGAAGCTATTAAAATAAATATATTCTTTGCATTAGTTGTAATATTGTAATTGTATATATACAATGTAACAAAACCATTTAGTCTTTTATCACATTAGGATAAGTATAATCTGTGCAACTTAATCTTATCAGAATATGTACATGTTAGAGCATACCAGCTTTACATGTGCATACAATCAAATTTGCATATATTATAGTTATCTGAATTTTCATTGACTGATCTTTGTGTAGTTTAACTAATTTTTTAAAGCTTTGTCAAATTTAATAAAAACTCGAAGAAGCCAGAGGGGTGGTGTCCTCACTAAAAAATATACTGTCTAGTATTCGCAGGCAATGTGCTAGTGTGCCCTATTTTTGTTTTTAAAGCAGGCAATGCAACAATTACCAAGAGCCAATAAATGGATCAGTTGTTAGTCAGGTTTCAACTTTCTAATTGAAAAATAAATTTAAAAGGTATTTGTAGATCTCATGCTTTTAGAGGGATGGCATGAATTAGGTTAAATTTTTTCATATTTTTTCGTAATTTTTGAATGAGTTGCTTCTTTTGCTGTTTGGCAAATTTTATGTTCGTTCGTCCTTATGTACAAAATAAGAAACTCGAAGGCTCATCATTGAATAAACAAAGTCTTTCACCTCGGTAACAATAACTGCTGCTGTTTGACCCTTGCGACGTCCGCTAAAACTTCGCCTTAGGTAAGCATCAACATCTTCCTCATTTCTGCATTGCATGTCACTTGCTAATGCGAAAATTGCCTCTTCAACTTTTGTTAAGGAGGAAGGCGGCTGTTGAACGGCGCTGTTGCATATGTCTTCTTGACGTATATTTTTTCTGCTGAAAAACGCACATTTGAAACACCCGCCATCTTCATTAATTATTTTGATCAAGTATTTTGTGCAAAAACCGCTGGACACAATGACTTAGAAACTAGCGTTTTGGCATGCAAAAATGCCTGGCGTGTTTGGAACAACCCCCATTTGAACATAAAAAAGTTTTTTATGCATTAATAAAAAAACGTAATATTATTTGGTTTGTTAGCGGTATTTCTTATATTGTTTTTCACATTAGTTATATCACCAATTCTGGCATTTTTTTACATTTCCACTTATATCGGTAACAAAATTATATGGAATAATTGAATAGATATTTAATGTATATACTCCTCTATTGAAATTTTTGGTTTTTAGCTTTTTATTCGATAAAATTTTTTTTATTTTTACTAATTCCTGATAAATTAAATGGATATAATATATCTATATCTGGCCAAAAAAAAATTCGAGATACAGTATGGTTATGTTGAGGTATTTTCATAGGTCGTAATTTAATTTCCATTTTTTTCATCAATTTGACATTCCAACGTTATATATCCAGAATCAAATGGTATATAATTACCTTGATGATCCAATACTTTTATAATTAAATCTTTAATAAATGAAGAAATTAATTGTTTTTGTATAATTGTAGGATTGTACACGAGTAAATAATTTCCACTTACATCTGCATAATGTAAGGATCAATACATAACAATTCACTTTTTGAATCACCAACGATTTCACTATCAATTTTATCACAATATATAAACATTATTTTTTGTTCCAACAGTCTCATCAGGAAGATATGGACAATGAAATAATTTAAATTTTTTTAAGAATTTACGTTCTGTATAATCAAATCCAGAATCAAATGTATGTCTTATTTCTTCTTTATCTAACCCCAACATAAAACTTAATTTTTTTGAAAAAGTTATTTTGAATTCCATTGTATTATTTCCTGTTTTATAATCAATATATACTATTTTGTTCAATACGGGTCGTGTCCAAATATAACTTTAAATATCATATTTTTTACCATCTTTAATATAAGATTTTTTCGCCTGACCATAGTAAAAAATATATTCATTTATTAAAATTACATTATTTTTACCATTTTTATTATTAAAAAAACACTAAAATCATTTAAGTAATCATTTAAAAGCGAAATAACTTTTTTATTCATATATATTCCCAACGGTATTTTAATCCTTGGTAAATTAATCTTTAAAATTGGATATAAATTTTTATCTATATTTTCAGTAGTAACATCCATCTGAATAAAGTATTTTGAAAATTTTAATTCAAAATCACACCAGCATTCATCTTCATTAATATTCTTTGCTGTTCTTGGATAAAAAACATTTAACACAGATATGTATATTTTATTATTTAATGCATCAATTTTACCTGGTAATGTTGTAGTAAAATGATTAATATAATTTTTTTCACCATTTTTAATATTAACATTACTAGTTAATGTAATATTTTTCAATTCTAAGCCTTTTTTAATTCTTCGCGATAAATTTTCCCTAGAATTTCTTCACCGTTGTAATCACAAAGCTTATAAGTAACAGGATCCGTCAACAAAACTTTATTTATATAAAAAATCTCATTAACCCGCTGTCTTAAACTTTCTTTTCAGAAATATTATTTTTATTTCTGGAAATTTGCACTTTATCATTTTTTTAATATATTTAAATTTTTGTCCCTTTTTTTGTTTAAAATATTAGATAATCTTTTCATGTAATTTATTTTTTTTCCACCTAAATAGACATCATATGGTGTAAGATTATCAAAAAGTAATCCACGATGAGGAGATTCGTTATATCTTTCCGCAATTAAATGTAAGTATTTTTTATAATTATCAAATTTTTTTCGTTTCTCGTTTGCAACAAGTCAATAGTTCTTCTAATCATCTGTTTTGTTGTTCGTATAAATCTTTCAGCACGAGTAGCTTTAATTTCACGATTATAAGTATTAAAAGTTGTAAAATTATATTTTTTTGACAATTCTTTTCGAATCCCATGAAATTCACTTCCCTCGTCCGATACTATTTTCTTAGGAAATTCATTTTCTTTCAGTGAGATATCTTCAAATTCTTTCATAACATTTTTACTAGATTTGTTTTGTAATAAACGCACAAATGCATATCTTGAATAAACATCAACTACATATAACAAATTACGCAAATTATCATTATATCTTACCAAATCTTTCACTTCAGCTAAATCAACACTCCACAAATCATTTTTTTCCATACATTTATATTTAAACGATTATATTTTTTCTTTTTCTTTCAATACAAATTATATATATTGTGTTCATTATATATATCATTAATTTATCATTAATTAAATTAGTATTCTTCTTCGTTCTCCTCATCATCGTCCTCATTCACAATCGTTGGAAGAGAAAGGTAATCAAGCACTAAAAGAAAAATGTTATTATATATTCTTTTGATTTTGTCATTTCCATATTTTTTATAAATTTCTACAAAATCATATTTCTCTCACATTTTTTCCTCTAAAATTTCATTCATAATTTCACTATGATAAACAATGCAATCATATATTGAAATATCCAGTTTATTAGAAATCTCTTTCAACATATAAATATCTTCAATATCATTATCATTTTCAATGTCATTACCATTTTCAATGTCATTTCCATTTTCAATATTCATTTTCCTTTTTTTCTTGCTACGGTTTTGGAATTCTTTTTACTTTTTTTCTTTAACTTACTTTGCTTCGCTTTGTTTTCTCTTTTCTTCTTCACTTTTAATATATCACGACAAGATGCAACAAATTGTCGCAATTTTTGTGATATAGTTTTAAATCGTTATCTTTACTCAAATACACTTTGTAAAATTCATCCGTCCAATCAAATCATTGAAATATTATTTAGATCACTTGGTTTGAATAATTCATCCAACTCATCATTATCATTATCATTATCAACACAAATAGTTACACTCTCATCCAAATTACAAGATGAATTTTGTGTTTTTGAAACTAATTTTGGATTGCATTGGACTGGCTTTGGCCACTGACAGAAAGAGGGCAAAAAAATTGCTTACAGATAAGAGTTCCAACAAAATACACCGAGATAAAGAACAAAAAAAAAAATCACATCTCTAAGCCCTTTTTTTTTCTGAGTCCAGTAGCGTAAGCAGTCCACATATTTTATTTGCCATTTACAGGTTTTTTTCAGTTCACATGCACTGTGAAAACAGTGCATTTCAAAAGATGCAATGCAAAAAATGCAAGACTGATACTTGTGGTCTGGCTACGCTACTGGCCAAGTCCACTACATATTTTATTAAAAAAAAAACACATTTGCATTTCACAATCATTACAAAAAAGTAAATTATGTGCTCTCTGCTGTACCTTTACGCTCCACGTCTACCGAAATATTTACTTTCCTTTCTCCACGTAGGATTGTCTTTGCATGGCTTAGGTTCAGAAAACCACAGTTTATTGTCTTTCCAAACCATGTAATTCACGTTGATTTGAAAATGACAATTGTATACGACTTTAGGAATTTCATAGTATGTACTATTATCTTCCCTCTCATAAACACTCCAGTAGAGCCTCATTTGATCGGGGTAACTTTGGTGAATACCAATAATTGAACGACAAATTTCGTTTCTTTTCTTTACATCATTATCTGACCGGAAATCAGGCGAAGAAGACCGAAGATGAACTAGCCTCCCATTATCAGAAAACGTTGTTAGATTTGTGATAGCTTTTAACCAATAGACAACAGCCTGACTTTCCCAAACAAGGCACATCAAACTGTCTTTCCTTTTAAAATGATTCGACAATGTCAGAAGTCAAAAGAAGAAAAGACTCATCCAGGAATGTTGCATCTAAAAATTGAAGAAAAATCTCTATGACTACAATGGCGGTCGAAAATATCTGCTCAACTTTGTATTTTTTATATACAGGTAAAAGTTTTAGCTTGTAATATAGTTTAACATTCTGTTTCGAAATTAATAATTTTCAACCTTGTTAAAAAATCCCACAAATGTCACCAAGAAGACTTGACATGTGTGTCATTACTACATCAACAGTTGGAGTTTACTCCAATACCACCAAGTGAACTCTTGACTTAGTGACTTTTCAGTTATTAAGTGGATGAGAAGAATGTAGACAAGATGTGGAATTAACGGGTTCAAAGCCAATAATTAATATATAAAACGTCGTGCAAAATGGTATAGGCATTTGCTGCCGTAGTCAGAGAAAACGTACTCCTGAGTATACTTGCTAGTGAAGTGGCTGTATCCAAAAAGTGTCAGTGACATGCTAAAATCTTGTTTTAGAACAACAATCCTAAAATCAAAATGTACGGACACTGTCCACACGGCTAGGGGATAGTCTCATCTGATAAATAAAGCCCCTTGACAGATGGCATGGCTAAAGAAGCTCCTACACTAAGATATTCTCTCCCATCTTCCTGCCATTGATAAATAATAAAGTCAAGAGTAAATTATTTTTATTTTAAAAAGATATACTTAGGCATAATTATGACAACATTTTTTTAGTTCCTAATAGTTTTCCGTTCATTTAAAGTAACCATATTTAGTATAGACACAAATATATCCTTAAATAACATCTTGTACCGAAGGAAGTAGTTTTATCGTTGTAAGATAGATCGTAGACCATAGACATTGACGTTGAACATTAAATGTGGTACTATAGTTATCTGTGATATCTCTATTTGTTCGCGTAAGTCAATATATACTAAGGAAGGTAGATGGCTACATCATAAAACCTAACAAACATTTCTGTTACGTTAATAAACTACATGTATTTCATTAATTATTATAAAATAAACACAATGAAACGCGTGTGCTGATTAGTCTATAGCTGTGTTTGCACTAGCCTGTGCAAAACGATCTGAGCTCGACCATTCAAATCAACCAATCAATCAAAGAGAATTTGCAAATCAATCGTGAATACACGTTAAAAGAATATTAAAACCTTTGGCTTGTTTTGCATTATTGTTATTTTACACTTGAAATAAAAGATGTTTATCGTGTTTGCACTGGCTTATGCAAAACTCAGAGACGTTGGTGAGGACTCTAGAGCAGGTGCAACCCTCGACCTTTCAAAGGTCTCCTCGGTTTGCATAAGCCTGTGCAAACGCAGTAAACATCTTTTATTTCTTAAATAATATACTTTGACACATTTCTCCACAGTGATTGGTTGATTGCAGTGCAGTAACTGCTCTGTAAGTAGTGTAACTTGATTCGCTAAAAAGCAGTGAAAGTCAAGTAAAGTTCTGGTCAATTCAAAAATATGGCGGCAGTAGTAAGTAAACAAATATTTCCACAAGTGCAATCGTTATTTTAAAATTCAAGAATTACAAAGAATCCAAAGAATAAAAACAAAACATGAACTACTATTTTTTGGGTTATTGTTTTTGGCAATTAGGCCGCGTAACGAGGCTAATTACACACTCCTGTAATTAGCCGTAAATATGACTCAAGGATTTCTTTTTGACTGATTGTGTATGATGGCAAGAAGTAGTCATTGTACAACTAAATCCGTTTATCATTTGAATGAAAACGATTTTTTTAAATAAATATCTTATTATAGCCACGACGCGAGAAGAATTGGAGAGAACTGGAATCTACAGTGTAGCGAATCATTAACGGCTAGTATTGACAACTGCATAGTAATGCTCAGTTTTCGTTCAATTATTCCACCATTACTGATGACGAATTAGAGCACCTTGTTCAAGATGTTTGCTACATTACATCAATTATATGTGAAAAGCGTCTAATGGCAGCATTACGAAGTCGTAGTATTCGCATTCAACGTTGTAGAGTGCGTGAATGCTTACGTAAAGTAGACCCCGGTTTGGACAATGTTGAAGTTGCTCTTATATGCTTGGGTCTCAGTACAGGCTTAGGAAAAGGGAGTATTATAATTTCTAGTTCTGTGCATAACACCAGGGTCGAAAGACCCTATCGAGATATATATTCTGGTGCTTTAAGCTTCCTCGAAAAGGGATTCTGCGAACTAGAGGACTCTGGACACTAGGATCCTTTGAATGAAGTCCACATTTTTGCCTTGCACTATGTTTACATGCCACATATAAGCAGATGTTTAAAAGAGTTACACAATTGTAAAACCATTCGTTGTCTTTAGAGAATGGCATGACACCGTTGCAGCTCTTTACCTTGGGTGTTCTGATGATTATAAATTCATAATTCTCGGGGATTGAAGGCATTATGAATGAAGCTGAATTACAGAATTATGGAATTCATATGGATGAGCCACTACCTATTCACGAGAGTCCTTACCAAGTTACCATTCCCGCCTATATAGCAACCAATATGATAGAAGAACAGAGATCATTCCTTGAAGAAAATTGTGATCCTCAAGTTGGAATTGGAAAAGAAACATTTATGTTATGTTGTCTCTTATTGTTCTCATTCGATATTTATAAACTAAGTAATTATTAGAAAAACAACAGAAAAATTACTTTTATTTCTACGACATGTTCATTAGACTGTCGTGCGATTTGCAAACAAAAAAGGTTTTGCAACCCAAATTCTTGAAACAAAAATAATGTAATTAAGAGTTCCAATATAGGTATTGTTGTCAGATATCCCTGTTATGCTACAACAAAAGACCAATCTGCCAAATTTCGAATAATGTTTGTTTGTGAGTTATTCTGAGAGCTCGTTGTGTTGCAAATAATGATAAAGTTGTGTTGGGTTTCAATTGTACATTCGGGTACGTTGGGGCGATAAGGAACAATATAGAAAACATGGGTGGAACGGAATTAGAGAAAGCAGAGAACGGAAGTGAGAGGGGCTAGACAAGGGAGAGAAGCGAGATACTTTTAGGAGTAGGAATAAAATTTGTTTAACAAACCGAAGTTGTTATTGTAATTATTCTTCGTGTTCCGAAGACATTGGGATGGAGGTCAATTTTCGGAATAGTTGTAAGTTTGATACGTTGATTATGATTCTAATGGCGCTCCAAACGTATGGGCAAAAATCTCACGTGAATGACCTTCGTTGGAATTGAACAATTACGTTTTTGTTGTGACAGTAATAATATCGCTACCATTTAGAAACTAGAGAAATCCAGCCAGCATAAGTGTCATGTCATAATTTGATCAATCTTAATTTCAGGCGCACTCGCCTTTAGATTTTGGTTCAACTTCTACAAGCTTGATAACACGTTTGGAGGATGCTCCTTTCTCACAGTAAATTATAGAGTAGCTGGCAAAACTACTGAATTGATCACAGTCCTTCAATGATCTCCACTCTTTGTTTCAAGAATCAGCAATAAAGCGCAGCTTTTGGATAAGCTTCAAATATAACGCCAATATTTTCTTTCGTTCGATTTCTATGGCAACGATAGCTGCTGAAAAGCTCCATGACGTCATCGTGCTATTACTATCAATTTCATCCTCTAGATGTTTCATCCTCACATCTTTTTCACCCATTGAAATGTAAGGAAAGCATTTTTCTTGTTTATAGCAAAAAACTAAAATTCTTGGAACAGATCGCCACTCTATAGTTTGGTAATCATGGCGAATGTACGGAACCTTCTCCGACAGGCCTATCAGCAGTGCGCCAGAAAAGGCTCAAAGATACCACAATAAGACATAAAACGATTATATCTAAGTTATTCTCTATACTAAATATAGATTTAATATAAGTAGTATCCTATAAGATCCTAATAGATCTTACAAGGTCTTTTTCAGACGCTATGGCAAACACTGCCCACGTGACTATCAATCTGAGTATACAGCATCCGCTATAGAAAAACATAGCTGAAAAGTAGAATGTTACTTTAGCATAAACTAGAAATATTTAAGGTTGTACGTTGAATGGTTTAAAGCTTATTATATGGCAAGCGTCACTTTCCGCGAAATGATGCGCTTTGATTGGCTCAGAAATTTTTTTTCCGGTCCATTATTTTTGCGTAATCGACCACGGTCCAAAACGCGTAATTTTACTGTCATAACAAACGTTCTAAGGAAACAGCAAAACGCAAAATAAACGAAACAAAAAACCATTTACGTATGTGATTTGAAGGAAAAACACTTTTATAACAGTTAAACTATCTAGACAATACAATATGAAACGAGTTTATTTTTTATTGACGAAAACTAGAAAAATGAAAATCAACCCGTAAAAACAGCAAGGACGAGAAAGAAGGCATGCTTCGTTTCAGGTAAAATAATGCCATATAATAATCGTTTTAATAACCTCCCTTTCTCGGTCTTTACTGAGAAATATCGGACCTCTGTGTTTTTGTACAAACCTCGCTCTACGGGCTCGGTCTGTTCAAAAACACCTCGGTTATTTCTCTGTAAAGACCTCGCGCTCGGTCATTAAGTTCTTAATAATTTTGGGTTGGTCATAATAATTTGGTGTTGCGCTTGTTCCAGTTGGTCACCGTATATTATGCTATAATAAAATATATTTAATATAGATCAGTACACTTTAAAGCTACATATGTTTATGTAGCTTTAAATTTCAAAAATGTAGTTTTCAAAAAATAAAATTAAAAGATATAAGCGCAATTATTTTCTGTTTCGAAAATCGCTGCTCAGGATCGAAGATCGTCAAAATCTACGTCAAACAACGTTCTCAAACGGTAAAAAGTACGTTGGCTAAGCTTCGCTGGAATGCCATGTTCAACGCTATATTCATGCGACTTTGTGCCAACATCCCAAAGAGTTAACAAAACAACGTTATCACAACTGTTGAGGCGACGTTTGTCAAGCGTCGACACAACGTTGCTACGACGTAAGTTTGCTACCTTGGTAAGTAATAAGACCAAAACAAAAATATTTCTGTACAAAACCGTATGGGTCTCAAAAATATTCTATTTTTAT